TTTTCTATTCCTGTGTTAGTTTGCTGGAAATGATGGCTTCCAGCTTCATCTATGTCCCTGCAAAGGACATAATTTCATCTCTTTTTATGGCTGCACACTCTTCCATGGTATATATGTACCACATTTTCTCTATCCAGTCTGTCATTGTTGGGCATTTGAGTTGGTTCCATGACTTTGTTGTTGTAAATAGTGCTGCAATAAACATGTGTGCATGTGTCTTTATAGTGGAATGATTTATATTCCTTTGGGTATATACTCAGTAATGGGATTGCTGGGTCAAACCTGAGTGTTTTCTAAGCATTAGAAGGGGATAGAAGAATAATATTCTAGAGAGGAGTCACTGCCAGTCCAAAGGTACAAAGGAATGAAACAACATGGTGTGTCTAGGGAATGAGAAGCAGATTGGATTGACTGGAATGTGAAGTCTAAGGTGTGGAGAAGCTAGGAGCTGAATGGAACATAAGAAAAAAGGTCTTACATGCCCTGCTTCAGGCCTGAGCTTTGTTCTACAGGACAGCTAGTGAAAGATTTTAAATAAGGGAAAGTTGTAATCAGGCTTACTTTTTATGAAATATCACTCCACTGGCCATGTGGAGGTGGATTAGAGAGAGTAGATGAAAGGATAGAAACCCATTTGAAAGGTATTACAACCATTGCAGCAAGAGCTGAGATCCTGAATTAAGGTGATGGCAGAGGTAGCAGAAAAGAAAAAATGAATTTAAAAGATAGAAATAACAAGGCTCAGTCAGTGATCATGGTTATAATGAGTAAAGGAGAAGGCAGACTCTGGGAGGCTAGAAGGATGTAGTTCCCTCAATTAAGTTTAGGGAATTCTTGAAAAGGAGAAGGTCATGGAAGCGGGGGAAAGTGATGAGATCAATTACAACATGTTGAGATGAAGAGCCTGGGAGATAAAGAGGACATCTCCAGGGAGCAGTTAGATACATGTCCCTAGAAATTAGCAGAGAGGCCTAGCCTTTAGCTATAGATTTAGGGGTCAACAGCATAGAGCAGGTACTTAAAAGAACAGGAGCACATTTGACCATCAAGAAGGGGCTTAAATTGAAAAAAGGTGGTCAGAAACAGAATCCTCAGAAACATCAACTTCTAAGAAGAGAACACAAGAAGGCAAATCAGCAACTGACACTGAGTATATATGGTCAGAGCGTAAGACCTCAGCCAGATGAAAAGGGGCCTCCAAAGTCATAAGGAAGAGGGAGGGGTGATTGAGAGGTAGGGAGGGGGTGGTTGAGAGGTTGAGAGTAGCAAAAACCATGATAAGATCAAGTAAGCTAAGGACATAGATACATTGTGAATTGGTAATTAGGAGGTCATTGTTGATCAGAGACAGGGCAATTCCAATGATACAGTGTTAGGGTATGAGACAGGTACAAATCAGATTATAGTGGTTTGATTGGTAGACAGGAGGTGAGAGAGTATCTAGACACATGTATAGGCTCTTCTTTCAATGTGGTTGACTGTGAATTTGAAAATTCTTCTCCTGCACACAGGTGAGACTATGCCCAGGCTGACTAGAGACTGGAGTAGAAGGAGGGGTCTCTTACCCAAAGCTGTGGCAGATGTTGAAAGCAAGTGAATATTCAGAGCTGACTGTGAAATGGAAACTGACTCCAGAATGCCAGGAAGTGGGGTTTGAAAGGACCTCCAATGGTGAGGGGCTGGAGCCAATGTCTGAAGCTGGATTAGGCACTGAGGATAAGACAGCTAGCTAGAATGTTTGTAGGCAGCTACTCAAGAAGAATGGAAAGGGCAGGGGATGGTGTGTGCTGCTTGGCCTGCAGGTCAAGGGACTGATCAGGGACCCTGGCTCTGTGAGAGAGGGAGGAGAACTAATAATTTGAGAAAATGGGAAGGGGTTAAGGTCTAGCTTCAGAGTTTCAGGACAGGCTAAGCAGAAGTAGGGCAGTTTGAGGGCTAAAAGACTAGCAGCTGATGGTTTTATACATGTAAAGATTTCTGAGAAAAAGGGGTCCCAGGTGATAAAGTCTGGGACATAGTCATGGCAGTTGACCACAGGACGGGGTAGAAAGATGCAGGTGCTAAGAACTGAGGAGGTTAAAGTTCTGAGAAGCTGCAGTGCTAATCGAGTCCTACCCATGAGCACTGAAGTCACCCAGATGATGGCAGAAGTTGGATTTGAGAGAAAGAACATTCTCAGTCCTCAATGAACATGGAGGAGTGGCCAGGAAATGACAATCATTAGTAAGAAGAGAACAGAAAAGCTAGATAGGATGAACTTGAATGCAGGAGAGAATTTTGTGTAAGAGGTATGGGTGCAATCATGGCAGTGGGCATTAGGAAGAATATCTCTAACTCCTCCTAAACCTGCCATACATTTGGGAGCTGCAAAGGAGTAATATCCTTGAGGCAGAGACAGTATCCATTTCAGTGAGAACAGGTGAGAAGAAAAGATCATCTTTACCATGTACATGTAAAAACTATATGCTCCCAGAGACTAAGGATAATCTTTTATTTTCAGTCAGGACTATTGAATTAAGGGTTTCCAGGGAATCACAAAAGACAGTTGTACTGAGTGGGTAGTATTTAATATGATCCAGTCTTAAATAAGAAGCCATAAACATCAACATTTAAAATCAAATATATAATAAATAATTATTAAGTTATAGACTACATAGTTCATATTAGCTAAATTCTCAGATGCATATGTAAATACAACAGAGCAATAATATAGAATAATAATGCTACAATTGTATACAAGCGTCCCAAGAAGACACTTTGAACTAAAATAATAAAGATCATGATTAATTTTCCATGAACTGTCATGACCTACAGTAATATTTCCCTCTCCCTTCCGTCCTTCCTTCCTTCCTTCCTTCCTTCCTTCCTTCCTTCCTTCCTTCCCTCCTTCCTTTTTTTTTTCTTGGAGCATGTCCCTTGTTCCTGAAGTGAGCTTTGCTACAAATGTTATTGAAATAATATTGAGCAACTGAACATCAGACATGGTAGAAAGTTTTACTTAGAAGTATGATCAGATATTCCTGTAAGAATACCCAGAACTTCGGAGACGCATAGACATTTAAAGCTCTGAAAAAGGAAGAAAAGACATTAGAGATTCAGTCCAGGATTCTCACTCTACAGATAACGAAATGGAAACCTAAACAGCTTAAACAAGTGACCATAATTTCATAGTCAACAAAATTTCAGGTCTCCTGTATTACCGTCCATAGGTGAACAGTTATATTTATGGGCTATCTTTATATTCCTTTCAAGAATTGGCTAAGTCTTGAACCCAGAGCAGTGAAGATGGAGCTGTTGAAATCTCACTGCTTCATCTTGTTTATTTCAATGCATTGCTTTTCTGGGGTGTTGGGGGGCTCTTTATCTGGGTGTTTAAACTTTGTTTAATGAAGGCTCTTAGCCAAACCCTCATTAAATTATTTTTACTTTTAAGATAGAAACCCTGATCAAGGGCCGGGCGCGGTGGCTCACGCCTGTAATCCCAGCACTTTGGGAGGCCAAGGTGGGTGGATCACGAGGTCAAGAGATCAAGACCATCCTGGTCAACATGGTGAAACCCCGTCTCTACTAAAAATACAAAAAATCAGCTGGGCATGGTGGCGCGTGCCTGTAATCCCAGCTACTCAGGAGGCTGAGGCAGAATAATTGCCTGAACCCAGGAGGCGGAGGTTGCGGTCAGCCGAGATCGCGCCATTGCACTCCAACCTGGGTAACAAGAGTGAAACTCCGTCTCAAAAGGGAAAAAAAAAAAAAAAAGAAACCCTGATCAAAATAATTGGAACAGAAATTTTTAACAATAAACATGCCAAAAGAAATATATATTTTAAATATTAAACTACAGTGTCAAAGAAGTTAATAGCTATAAATTCAGAAACAAGAAATATAGATTCCATCTTTCTCACTATCTTTGTACCTGCTTCTAACTTTTATCCCAACAACCCAGGCTGTCATAGTTGAAACTTAGGCACATTTTATTTATATATTATCATCAGGCAGATAATTCCTTTATAATACATATTCTAAAATGTTAAAACAGAGTACCTTGTTTCTGATGACAAAACATTTCTTTTTTTTTCTTTTCTCTGAGTCTACTTGCTGATGATAAAACATTTCATTGAAATTTGATTAAATAATTCTCAATATATCTTTTAGAACTGTAAGTTAATTCTGTGTTTGTTTTAAGCAGATAATTTTTCTTCTCAGAGCATAAAGCATTTCTCATCCCACATCCTCTTGCACATTCACAACTATTTTAACAATAAGAGGTTCTCAAATAGCTTATACCATTCTAGCAAAAATTTTATTTTTCTAGAGTTTTTAACTTCATGTTTAAACAAACTGTGCTGGAGCTGATATGAAATGGCAGCTAGAGTAGGTTGCCTGTTTTTACTACCCAAGTTTGAAAGATTGGATTGTTTATGCGAAAGTTTGTTTTCAGCTTGGACAGGAGTCCTGGCCTCTTGATTTGTCTCCTGATTTTAAAATTACATAGGTGATTGAATTTTTCTTATCAAAAGGATTGTAACTAAAAGTGTCCAAAATGCTAAACATGTTTTGAAATTCTGTCAAAGCAGAAGTTTCATTTTAAAAAGAAGGAAGAAAAGAAACGAAGAAGAAAGGAGACAGACATTTGAAGTTATTAGCTAGCTAATACTATGATCATTTTAACAGTTTGAGGAAAGAGCTACAATACTTTTAAAACTCTGTTTAGTTCCAGAAGACAACCTGACATATGTCCCTCTATAGCTTTAAATTACCATTTCCACAAGCTTAAAATGTTAGCTTATAAGGGACTGGGGGCTGGAGGAAGGTAATATTAAATCAACTTCTTAATACTCTATTGCCACTGACTAAGAGTCTATTCCATAAATATATTCATATTTATAGTATTTAATTATTTTTATATACCCCAATAAAGAAGTAAGGCTTCTGTAGCCATCTGGTATCCCCGGTGCATAAATAAATTATATATTTATATGTTAGACATTTTGAGATTAAAAAAAAAACTATTCAGATATAAGTTTTTAAACACTCAGTTTTCATTTCCTTAAAAGAATAAAGATGTTAACTTTTCATTTTGCTTTTACATATTTTGCTTCTATGTTTCTATATTTTCAACTTGAATGAAGGTATATACGTTTTAAGTTATGATCATAATAGACCATATTCTGGTGGTAATCAAACTCAAGGTTAATATAAAATCAATACATGTCAAAACCGTATTTTTGGTTAAAAATTTTAGCCTTCTCCTTCAACCAAGAAATGTCAAAGTTGGGCAGTGAGATAAAGTAAAAACTTCAGAAGTCATAGGAATCAATGACATAGAAAATCAGACTATTGCATAGTCATTATGGGGAAATAATCCTGACTTAGCACACTTAAGAGTGTTTTTTCCCATCGCTAATATATTGTACTCCTTCACTTGGAATACCAAGAAATAAGTTTAACTACTATATTAGAGTATGTAACATAGTGTCCAGCTGCAAGTCAGATCCTCAGGAATCTTCACTTCCATGTGTTCTAGAGGAGAGATGTTGATGAATCATCTGTGGAAATAGTATATCATGAGTAACTACGAAGCAAATCTGGACAGGTAAAGATAAATTAGAAAATCAAATGAAATTTAAGGTAGATACCTTTTGGAGAAGTGATTTGAATCTTTCTAGGAATTCTTTGGGTGGTTTTTTCTCATAAGAATCACACGAAGGGCATGTCTAGAAATCGATGAAAAAGTAACAATCTTCTTTAAAATTTTTTTCTTAGTAAAATGTTTCTTTAAAACTTTTATCATTAAAAACATACATTATGTTCACTGAAAAACATTTGAGAAATACATAAAACTGCTTGGGAAGTAACAATGGAAAAAGTTCTTGTAATCCCATTCACAGAGATAGGAATCCCACTGCTATGTTTTGCTGTATATTATCTCCATGTTTTGGGTATTTTTAATTATTATGTAATTACATTATTTATACCAACTGATAATTTGCTTATTTTTTACATTTAACATATCACAGGCATTTTCTAAGTGTTAAATAGCCTTCAAAAATATGACATATAGTGGATGCTCTGTATTCCAACATAGGATGAAATTATTACTATTTTTGGACACATAGGTTGTGTCTAACTTTTTTTTTTTTTTTTTGAGACAGTCTTGCTCTGTCACCCAGGCTGGAGTGCAGTGATGTGATCTCCACTCACTGCAACCTCCACCTCCTGGGTTCAAGCAATTCTTCTGCCTCAGCCTCCCAAGTAGCTGAAATTACAGGCATGCACCACGGTGCCTGGCTAATTTTTTTGTTTTTAGTAGAGATGGAGTTTCACCATGTTGGCTAGGCTGGTCTCGAACTACTGACCTCAATTGATCCACCTGTCTGGGCCTCCCAAAGTGCTGGGATTACAGGCATGAGCCACCGCGTCCAGCCGCATCTATTTTTGTCTACATTACTCCAAAGAACATCTCTGTAAACAATTTTTCATATACATCTTTGCTTATTTGATAAATTCCTAGAATTACTAAATTAAAGGGGTACAAAATTTTAAGGTTTCAATGTACATTGTAAAGCGTTTTACCTCTTTTCACTTGGAGCATTCTTATTATAGGGTATTGTTAAAATTTTTAATTGGAGAAAACAGGATTTCCTTGTTTTAATTGGAATTTATGTGATTACTAGGGAGATTGAACAGTTTTTCGTATATGTGTTGCTCATTTACATAATTTTAGAAATTTCTTTGTTTATGTTCTTTGTCTTTATTCCTATCTAGATGCCAAGCCACTGCTTGGTAGTTATTAGCATCTCAATGCCAGTGTGATGTTGTAGTGAGAGCATTTCACTAAAAGGTAGTAGATATAAATAAGTTCTAATTCTCATTCTGACACTATGTATAGAACTTGAAGCTAGTCACTTAACTCGGAGATCTCATTTTCCTCATCTGTAAGATGAAGATGCTTAACTGGAGAGTTTTAAGTTGCTAAACTGCCAATTAATGAGTTTCAAAAATTTGTTCAGCTCCTTTCTTTCTGAGGAAAGATTTAGAGGGATAGTTTTCACATGGTCACCTGGCCAAACAACCAAAGGAGATAAGAATCATTTTGATAATGTAATTAAGATTTCATTTAAATCACATGTGGAATTTTTTTGGAGGAGAACTAATTTTAAAAATTTGAGAGTAATTTATTTTATGTGTTTTCCCACTGGCTTTGATTAATCATTGAATTATTCATGTTCTTGAGTATCCACATTGCTCATGAGTTGGCATATACAAGAGGATCTCAGGGCTCCGAAAAGCTAGGGACTGCTAAAATTTCTCAGCCAAGTAATGAGGCCTGCCTATTTTAATTCATTACTGACTCTGCTAATGTACAGGATAGTAATATGATTCAAGAGAGAAGGCAAAGTTTAAGATTTGCCCTAGTCTCTTGTAGGCTCTTTTCTTGTCAGAAAGGATCTATCTCCTGTTAATAAGAACACAAGTTATATGTGACCAAATGAGAGGAAAATATTCCTTAACTCCAAAATCACAGTTGGATTCTATGCCTAATGACTTCCTCACCTTGAGAAGCTATTTTAACACATTCCAGCTGCCAAGGACTACTAGGAAATTAATTGGGTTTCTGAATACTTTCAAGTCTGTGGACTTAAAAGAGTGACCCTACTTCTTAAAATGCACCATGTATAATAAAGCATAACTATAAGTAAGGAAGACACCAGCAGGTCTGGTTACAGGTGTGTGTGTGTGTGTGTGTGTGTGTGTGTGTGTGTGTGTGTGTGTGTTTATGTAATGCAAGAGATATAGTTTATAAGTACAAATAAGATAGATGACAGATGACAATCTTACTAGTCTGTGTTTCTGTCTTCTCTCTGCTTTTGTGGAAGGTGGTTTCCTCTTCAGCTTTTTAATTGACACATTGATTATCCTTTCATTGTCTCCTGTGTTTGCGGACTTTAGTTGGGCCTTCTGAAAACATGAAAAAGCTGACCACTCACAGTTTGTCTGAAAGAGAAATAATTTGTATATATGTTAACAAACATTATTCGGAAAGTAAAAGATGATTTTCCCAATCCTGTATTTCTATCTCTACTGCAATGTCTTGTGTTACCTTGTTTCAACAGACAAGTGATGAATGATTTCACCTCCTACTTACTCTTTGGGATGGAGAAAAGGGATAATCCCCTGCCTCGCAGATAAGAGAGAAAAGAGCCTCACTTCTTCACAATACTTTATTCCTGATGCTATACAGAGGACCATTTTGATCTCTGGGTGGTGGACAAGACCTTTGTGTTTTATAGGGGAGCATTAGTTCGGTTTAGGAGCGCATTTGCTGAATTATGAGGCTGTAAAACTTACACTGTGACTAGTGGCAGCTTTGGGTAAATTATGTTGTAGCTTGAAGAAGAATATTTTTCATTTGTTTGCAGTTTCTATAATGTACCTATCATGACATGTCTTCAGCCGCATTTTATTCTGCACAGCACCAGGCATAGTGTGTTGCCAGTGGATGATCAATATATATTTGTGAAGTTAACATAACATGAAGTAAATGAATTAAAGACCCTCCTTTGGGGAAAGGAAGCAGATACCTATCTCTGATGGCATATTTTACATCTAAGATTTAATACACTTGCCATAGATCACACATGACTTTTCTAAAACCCTTTTCATACTCTCAGCTCAGTTAGGGTAGGATTCTGCCTGAATCAAGCAGTTGAGGAACAATTTGAGGCTTGCCCAACCAATGGGAGGGAAGATCATTTCTTAGAAGGTAAGAGTAGGGTCTCAGAGAATGGAGGAGTGGACAAAATAAGCATCAAACACTTATCTCTTGGTTTGGCAAAATAACTAATGACTAACAAATAAGCCAAAATCTTAGCAATCAAACTGGAAAGGAAATGGAATTTACTGGAAGAACCAAATATATACTGACTTGTTGAAAACATGTTTAATGCTGATCGAAAAGCTCATATCCAATTTATTTGTATCCGATTTACTTTTTTCTTTCGGAAAACGTGTGGCCAGGCATGGTGGCTCACGCCTGTAATTTCAACACTTTGGGAGGGTGAGGCAGGTGGATCACAAGGTCAGGAGTTCAAGACCAGCCTGGGCAAAATGGTGAAATCCCGTCTTTACTAAAAATACAAAAATTAACTGGGCGCAGTGGTGGGCACCTGTAATCCCAGCTACTCAGGAGGCTGAGGCAGGAAAATCACTTGAACTCGGAGGCAAAGTTTGCAGTGAGCCGAGATTGCACCACTGCACTCCAGCCTGGGCAACAGAGTGAGACTCCATCTCAAAAAAGAAAAAAAAATTGTGTATATGATGCTATTTTACCCCTGAAGTTGATATATTTTCATTTCAGTAATACATATGGAAGCGACTACCTTATAACCAGAAACCTCAATCCCTCCCAGTCCCTACAAAGGCAGGCCTATACGTAACAATATTACCTGAATCTTCTTAGGGACAATCAGCTGAACACAGCATCTGGCCTGCTTTGCATTTTCCAACCCATATGCTTACCCAGTATGAATGTTGATTAATAACATGCATCTCTAAGATACAAACCTATCAGGTTCACTTTGCATATATAGCCACAAGCCGAGAACCAGCTTATCTGGTTTCCTTATATCAGGGCAGATTGCCTCTCATAAGGGCAAGGTGGTGTCCTTTCCATATGTTTGCCAAAATGCTTATTTAATAGAAACTATTTATAAATGTTCATTATAGCACTTTTTTTCCTTGAAAACCACACGTTCATGTTTGTTGAAGTTTTTTCTTTTCTCTTCTTTTTGACCACAACCGGCTTAACTTACTGGAAAAAAATAATATTCATATTTAAAGAGGTAAATTTTCCAGCTGAAACTGAAAATACTGACTGCTTCATCCGTGATGATCTGAAAAACCAGCATTTCTCACAGCGGCTCATTTTGCTGAGTTAACATTTACATGTGTATGCTGAAAGAAAATTAGGTTCCAAAGAAGTAGAGGGGCCCTGCCAAATGAACTCCCTTGAGACAATATTGCCAGGAATGGTCAGTACCAGTACTCAAAGCACTGAAATTGTACAACTACAATTTCAGTTCTAAAAACAACTGAAATTTTTTTCTGAAAGCCTTTGAATGGCACCTGGACACTGACGCCCATATTGACTGGGCTATGCTTTCTCTCCCACCCTTCCTGTTTACCTGTGTTAATAGACAATGGTGTTTTGTTTTCTTTTGTTCTGCAAGCAGCAGAGATGTGTCTAGCAGTGTGGTCCAGGATAAATAACTGTTGGAATTGGTTTTATATATACATCAAAGTTAGCCTCAAAAGAGGAAAAGAAGCAGAGGGGCTGTCACTGCTAAACTGCCTTAAGGGTATACTGAGAAGGAGAATGAAAAGATTAACCTTGATTTAGGCAGCCTCAGGTGCCCTAAAGGAGTCTACAGGATGCCCAGGCCCATATTTAGCACCATCTGGAAGCATAACCATTACTTTCCTTTGCTATGCCTTGGTGACGGCAGATTCCAAAGGAAAGGCTTTGTTTCCCTCATGCTTTAATATATGAGAACATCAGGAGTTTTCTGCTCCTACGTTAGTTTTGCAGACTAGAAGGAATGGTAGTGAAGTCAGAGCAAGAATTAACAAACCATTCCTTTCTTCAGCTGAAAAACAAGTCAAACGCTGCTTTTGCGAGGAGTCACACTGGCTTTGTTGTTTTGCAATTGAATATTTGAAAATTTTTACCTCCTTTTGCAGAAACAGGATGTCTCACTGTTTTGCCCAGGTTGGTCTCAAACTCCTGACCTCAAGCAATCCTCCAACTTTGGCTTCCCAAATGGATTGCAGGCATTGGGATTACAGGCAAGAGCCACCTCATCCACCTGCGATCTATTTTTTACATTTTTTTTCCTTTAGTAAAGAAAGCCCTGGCCATTCATACTAAGAAGTCTTGCTAATTAGACAAGATTACCTTTGTCCTACACACAAACTAGGTTTATATCAGGGTTTCTCAACAGTGACACTCTTGACACTGGGGGCTAGATAATTCTTTGCTGTCAGGGATGTCCTCTGCATTCTAGAATGTTTAGTGCCTGGCTTCTACCTACTAGATACCAGTAGCATCCCCATTTCTACCTCCAAGTGTGATAACCAGAAATTTTTCCAGCCAATGCCAAATGTTTTCTGGGGTACAAAAACTACCACCGGTTGACAACCAGTGGTTTTATGATTAGACAGAAAGGAAAAGAAGAAAAGAAAGCTGTCTGGCTAGGCCAATTAGAGATCTTAGATAATTACTATATACATGCAACATTAGATGGTTTTATTTTCATTAAACTTTTTAATTTTTTTAAATCTCTTACAGACCCTGCTTTGATGCTAGCTTGATATAATGCTAACGTGGCCTTGAACTATTTCTTCCTTCCTGAGTTTGCCTACTAGTATAACTTAAAGATCTAAGTTACACTATTACTCATTACATCATAGCTAGAATTGCTTCATCAGATTATCAGGTAAATATAGTATCACTGAGACAAAATTCTCTCATTATGATGTAAGATAAAAAAAAAATATTTCATTAACAACACATATAAAGCAAGTACCCTTTGGTTCAACTCAGGTTAGAAAGTGGAATATCTTTTCTATTTCTTATTTTGCAAGTTATAGACTACAGCCAGGAAACTCTGGAAAGGACTCTAACCATAACAGTTAAACAAGTTTCGTGAGATGCTAGAAATGTATGTTTTCGTAATTAGGCACATTGATTAAGAAATATTTTCACTTATTGGAAAAGTCTTTCCAATAAGCTGAATGTGCTACTTTCATTTTAGATGCTGCTTATTAGAAAAGGACCTAGTAAATGAGAGTGGTTAGGTTCAGAGCTAGAGAGTGAATTTTAGAGAAAAGCAATAGTTGTGACTCATTCACTTTCTAAACTTTTACACATAGTCATTTACGATAAGTGTTTTCTTTGCAATGTATCTTCTTAAGTGGTGAGACTTAAGAAGTCAATTACTGGTAGCACTTTTATAGTTATTCTAATTTATGCAATTAAAGGTCTGTGACAATGAAAACATTTCCCCAATTGCATTTATACTTTCAGGGTACCAGACCAGAAGATCAGATCACAGAAGTTCATGGAGAAAAAGATCAGCGGACAGCACTCTTGAACTATGTGCCAGGCCAGTTCTTCCTGGAATTCTAATGGATTTAAATGGCTTAAGAGACGGGATGAATTGTTCAAAATGGTTCTTTCAAAAGACCTCACGGAAGGCCAAAGACAAGATTCACTGAGGCCAAGGTATATGTGAATTATATTCTAAAGGATGGCTTTGCTTTGATTTCCACACCACCATTTCTCCATGCTGTCCCTGTAATCTAATTCTTTCTTTTTTTATCTTGTTATTAAAAGGTTAATTCCGCTTCCTATGGTATGTATCTATGTTTCTTAAGTAGGATAACAAAGAAGGCTTAAGAGCTTTTCTGCCCAAGGCCTCTTAAAAAGTAACTAGCTGTGCATTGTTCAGAAACTGATTATAGATTTCTAGTTTTGTTATTCTGTCTCAGCAATACTACTAAGGAGTACTCTTAAAGATTCTTGAAGATAAATATAGTTTATGAAAAATATAATATTGCATTTTATTAGCTGGTTTTTGGTAAATCAGTGAATAAACAAAATATAAATAAATATTTTATCAATTATTAGACTGCTAAATTCATTAAAATTCAGTATGCTCCTATATAATCATGCTAATGCCTTTCATATTGGATTTACAAGCATGTCAAATGTATTTTCAGAAATAAATTCAACTAGTCTTACCTCTACATCTTCTGGAGCTGGCAGAAATTCGGGGTCCTAGAGCAAAAGAAAAGTTATTCTGAGTTATTTTTATAAGTCAAAGCCTCCTTTTATATTAATTGAAAAGTATGATTTCAATTTTTTGGTGACAAATATGGTCTTACCAAGTCATTCACATAACTTTTCAGCTGATCAACAATATCTATAAGTTGACGCATTCTAATCATGTGGCGATCTTGACCTTGGGAACTTGATTTATGGACCAATGTACCCAAGAAGATGACTATCAGACAGATGACTATCCTTTCCATGTTGCCAGGACTGGATCTCATAAGTACCATTAGTAGAGCAAGACCTTGGTCTCGTTTTCACTTCAGCTTGAATGAGAACAGATTGTCAGTTAAGCTACCTATTTATTCATCCTTCAGGGAGAGGTAAAGCCCTCCCATTGCAGCCTGGAAATCTTCGTAAAATGGATGAATGTGAGTAACTCTTTTTTCTTTTCCACTGGCTAGGTATACGTGTGCATGTGCTAATGTGTGGGGGCAGGGATTGATGGAGTCAACGAAATGTGCCCTATCTGCACCTTTGACAGGAAAAAGAGAGAATGGGTGAATTCCAATTTTCAGCATGAATTAAAAAGTATGTATAATAAACAGTAGGTACTATAAGACTTCAAAAAAGTAAACAAAAACACTTTGATTTCTTTTTCTCAGCCTCCCCTGGCATCTTACCTGTTCTCTCTGATAGTCATAAGGGCACTTTGATAATGAGTAAAGGCAACATGTACTTTCATGCAGGACTTTTTCTTATGGTAATAACTATGTCTTTTGACTAAAATCATCCAGTATTCCATCATAAAAGTAGGAGGAGAGGCTATCTTTTAGGAAATTTTAAATAAAGAGGTATTTTCCAAATTTGCAAGAATATTTTAGGTTAAGTTTCAAGAGTTTAAAATAGAATTTGCTTCCAACTGTTCACCAAAGCATCTTTAACTAAACATTTATTTTGGCTTCTGACATGTTACTTAACAATCTGATTTATTAATATTATAATTGACTCTAAGGGACTCTATAGAAATTCTGTCCTTCTCAAACAAGATCTCACTCTACCATTATCTAAAAAATTATCTAATATCCATCTCTTCTATATAATACATCAATTAAATGAGTGAAACTTACTAATGCTCAATCTTGTCCAAACCAAAAATATTTCCAATCAGCAAAATAAAATATACCCATAAATGATTCATTTTCTCTTATGGTAGTATTACTTTGTTCTGTTAGATACTATTTCCTCTGGGTGTGAGCGACATATTTCTAACTGCATCTGTGACCGGGTAGAGGTTAATTAAAGACCTAAAATCCAGAAATGGTTTTATCATCCTTTCTTCTGCTTCTCTTGTCCCTGCGACTCTAACCCATTTGAGAAAGTTGAATATAATATTCTAACCAGAAAGTCATGTACCATAATTAGTTAGGTCATATAAATAAAACTCTTGACTATGGATTTTATTTATTCATTCATTTATTTCATTACATACTTTAGAATACCATACTTTATTCTAGATTGTTATGTAGCCAAGAAAAATTGGAGTTTTGACTTGATTTGCTCTGTAGTTGACTAATCTTTTTATTATAGAATGTCTATTCAAGAGTATACAGGTTTTGCCTTACATAGTAGACAAGAGTTCATACAATATGATCAAGAATTCCTCCATGTAATAGTTATATTCTATAGGACAGGGTTCTGCACAAACTTATGAATGCATGTGGACAAAGGGTTGCCACTTGGTGCCTCCACATTGCCTGTATGGTCTTTGTACATGCTCTCCTAATCCACCTGAACAGATATGCATCTCCTTGAATACACTTACAGTGGTTAGGAGGTCATTTTCTAAAGCTTGAGGTCAAATCCAGGTTCTACCAATTAATAGCACATATGATCCTGTGTGTGTAATTGCAAAAGGAAGATAAGTACAGAATCTAATCATAAGGTTGTGATGAGATTAGATGAGACAAAAAGGCTAAGTATAGCATGTGGTAACATCCCAGGAGGTTCGCATGCTAATCATGGATGAGGATGAAGGGGAAAACTTAAAGAAGCATAGGGAGGCTAAACTGATCAGAGAAGGAACAGAATGGACAGGTCAGTGTTCAGCCAGAATACATGGTTGTAGTTGTACTGGTGGTTTAAAAAAGAAAAAAAGCCAAAGATCTTTCGTATTGCCTGGAGAGAACCATTGCTTCTGGCCCTGGAGTGCCTCACCACTATGTTAGACATCCCAGTCCCTCCCTGAGACATCCCAACCCTCTCCATAATCCATCTACGAGTGCATCAGGGGTTTCAGAGTCTTGCTCCAGCACTATGACCAGAGGCCTTTCTGAAAGTTGGAATTTCTACCTTAAATGGCACATTAGTTTTTAAGCATTTTGGATATCATCTCTGGTGTGACAGATTTACTAATGCCCCAAAGATATCCATGCCCTAATCCCTGGAACCTGTGAAAATGTTACCTTACATGACAAAGGGGACTTTGCTGATGTGAATAAATTAAAGATTTTGAGATGGGAAGATTATTCTGGATTATCCTGTGGGCCCAATGCAATCACAGGAGCCTTTATAACAGGAAGACAGGAGGGTCAAAGTAAAAGAAGGAGCTGTGATGTCAGAGGTGGAAGTTGGAGTGATGTGGGGCCAGAAGCCAAGGAATACAGGTGGCTTCTAGAGTCTGGGAAAAGTAAGAAACAGATTCTTCCATGGAGCCTTCGAAAAGAATGCAGCCCTGCCAACACCTTGACTTTAGTCCCATAACGCTCATTTTGAGTTATTACTTCTGACCTTCAGAAATGTAAGGTAATAAATGCATGCTGTTTTGTCCTTACTTGAAAAGACGCCCATCTCTTTGAAGTGTTTATGGTAATTTGTTACAGCAGCAGTAGGAAAGTAACATACATAGGTATGGGATTCTTAATCTTGGGGGGAAAAAGTAGGAAAAGTGGGAAAGAGAGGAAAGGGTGATAAGAAAAAAAGATCCAGCAAAGGTTGGAATTTGGTTGGGCTTTGGGGAGGTGCAGGTAGAGGATATAAAGAAGTATGGACAAAGGAGGGAAGTAAGATTAGTGTAGCTGCCACATGGTATGGACTTCAGGGATAAAAAACCTATAGTGAGGATGTTCCAGAAAGTCTGGTGTGTGTTGTAAAAACTCCTTCCTAGCCCTGAGAAAACTTCACTCAGGATTGACAGCATGGTTCAAAGTTATGGATCCCAATTTGCATTTCATTTGAATTCATCACTGTGTGGAGATGAACCTTAGGGTGGGAGCAAGGAGGCCCAAAAGTATTTGAGCCACTAGGCAAAGTAAATTATTCACTGCTCAGAAATATTAACGTTATTGCTACCTTTACAGCATCATATCATTGGGGTTTGAAGGGCTGCTTACTCTTTAAATTATAATTATTTTTATAATCTGAGTACAATCACTCCTGCTATAAGGCTCATTTTGAAAATGATAATATATTCCAATGGGATTAATATATCAATGAACAATTTGAATATAACAAGAACTTTGTGTTTCCTTATGTTTAATTTTATCCGCAAGAAATGCTAGATGAATAAAGAAAACTGCATCCAACTGAACTGAGCCATGTAGGAATACATAAGATGTCGTCATACCTCCAACAGTCACCAACATCCTCAGTTCACGCATGTATAATGAGCCACACCCATCTACATCTGGCGTCACAATTTTCCATCCCAGAGAACTCTCCTTCGCCACGTCTCAGGAACTCACAAACTGTAACCTTCCCAACACCCAACTCCATGAACAAACTTCAAGTCTTTTTCTAGGTAAAACAATGTATTTATTCTAGCATTTGTGTACTTCTTAACCATTTAACCTGTCTAAAGCAGCTGTCTTTTTAAATTAGGTTGCTATCTTCTTTTTTAGTGTCACTGATGAAGTTTTTGAGTGCTGTGCTCCTAATCTCATTTTCCTGTAAGCGTGTGGTTTTTGAGTTTATGATTTTGTATAGTGCAGTGATTTTTGAAACGTGTGTCACATTATGGCAGAATTCTCTGTCTTTTGTCTCAAAATGTCACACTTAAGCCCCAACAGTGACTACTTTTATCCAGGCAAAAAAACACGACTAAAATATAGAATTTATTCTTAAGGTAGGAAATAAAAGGGAGGGAAAGAGAAAGGGAAGAGGAAGGGAGAGACAATTAAAAAGAATTTGTCATTTCTACGCATGGCCCATCTGAGGTATTTAAAAACCCCGGTGTCCATTTCTTCCTTGGTCCTTTCCTGTTAACACATGGGGGCTTAGCTTGGCATCTGTGGATTTCCCGGGTTCCATACATGTGCTTCAGAGATTCCCTAACCTCCTGCAATTACATGCAAAATTTTGTATTGCTATTGTGAGCAGAAGAAAATCTTAAATCTCATCAGCTTCTCAGTGGAAATGTCATGCAATTGCTGTTTGTTTTCCAGCCCCCAGAGACTTTGGTAAAGGGTTATGCAAACTGTGTTTTTTCAGCATGTGCACACCATCAGGCATAAGTGTGGCAGCTCCAGAATGTCTATAAAGGAGTGGCTGAGAGTCAGCAGCTTGGCTGGAAGCCACACTTGAATAGCAAGCAAACCACTTTTACTTACCTTCCAGGTCTATTTGGTACCTTGGAATAGAGTGATGAGTTTTACTAGATATATACTTTCCAGGAATATAATCAAGGTCGTCACTGTGAAAGTATAAAACTTTAGTCATTTACCCAAGGGGATTCATGGACACATTTTAAGAATTTTCTTTAATGGACTGTGTTTATAGAACACCTTGTCAGGGCAGAAATGAGGCCAGGGAACTAATGAGGTGGAAGTCTGAAGAGGAAAGGTTTTGCATGGGAAAACTGTGCCAGGTCTAAAACTGAGATGAACACCCCCAACTCCCTGGCCCGTCCTCATGGTTCTTCCTGTGATCCCTGCGGGGTGAATACCCCTTTTCTGTTTTCACTGGCTTTTGCCCCTCATGGGTAGAATTAGATGTTCTGCATGGCAAACTGTGGGAAGAGAGGCCTCCAGTGTTTAGAGTAATATTAAGTTATTATCATGTGTACCACTACTTTTAATGCATATTAAAGGTACTCAGACAGGTGGCTTGTCTCTGGGCTGGTATGAGCTTTACATCGGTCTCTGTCAAACTAGAAGAAAAATGTCACTAAAATAATTCAAGACAATTTTTGTACTTTCCAACAATGTTCAGGTAACAGCTGATAAAAATTTGTTTGACTTGATGGAGAAAATTTGAACGAGGAAAATCCTCAAGGACTTGCCAAAATCCCTTCTGTAAAATCTTCCTTAAGGAAGTTTAAACACTCCTATTCTCTCTTCT